TCTGCCCCTCCAGTGTTGCCAAGCCATACAAAACCATCAGCCTCATTTTACCACTAGGGCCTGAGTGTCTGGGCTCCTGGGCACCCATGAGGAGGGTGACTTTGAGCCCATGGTGGTGGACAGGAAAGGTTTTCCCTAACTTGTCAGGCTCCAAGAGCACACAGTTCCATACTGCCCAGAAGAGTCACAGATGGAGTCCGGTGCTCTGCTGAAATGGAACTTCTGCTAAAATTGAACAAGCTGGAGAAATGTGTCTCTGGAATACTTTCTTTCTCTCTGCTACTAGTTGGAAGAATACTGTAATCTCCAATAAAGAGACAGGTGTTGGTTTCTCTTCTAGAAATCAGCATAATTTGGGACTATGTGAAAACTCCTCATAGGCAAATAATGACACAGAACTTGCTATTAAATTTGAAGATTGTTTTAGGTGCTAGGCAATCTTGTAATGCATTGACAAGAGTTGACTATAAGATGTTTGGGGTATCTAAACAAAATCCACCAGACAAAAATTAACAGATAGAGGACATAGGGTATGAGATTGTCCTGTGTGATACAGCCTTTATCTACATCTGTGGAATTCTTGGTTTTTATTGTTGCTGCTGTTGTTTTGCAGAGCTGAGGATCAAGCCCAGCGCTTTGTGCGTGAGAGGCAAGTGCTCTGCCACTGAGCTACATCCAAGCCCCATTCTTGGCTTTTATATTCATGCATCAATTATGTCCTTTGTCTTTCACAAACTATTCTTGTATTAGGAATTAACCATCAGTTCCATCCAACTGCCTTTTGTTGGTCTTCTGTTCTTATGCATCACCAATACACTGAAAATAATTTCTGTCATCCAGTTTTGGATATCTAAATATCTACAATTTCTAATTTAGATCTATTATTTTTTAACCCACTGTATTATTTGCCTGTGTGGGATGGGTAGCAAACGTGAAGGAGCAGTCAGGCAAGTGTAAGTGATATAGAATCTGAGAGGAGAAGAGACAAAGGTGAAGATGAAGTGAATTGGCTCAAGTTTTATTTTTGTCTCACTTTTTTTCCCATCAAGTATGTAGTGGAAAAACTTTGGAAAGAAGTTGAACTTAATCCATTAGTGTGTCTTAAAAAGCCAGGAAAATTGTTTCCCCTGGGAAGCCAGAAGTATATAATGGCAGCTTGTTGTAATGAAAGAACGAGGAACTGATTTTCTCCTGCAAAGTCCTTTTCCGCTGGTAGAAGTCTAGTGAAAATCTAGCTCATCGGCTATCAACTTGTATTTTTTACACGTTTCTCACTGCCTTCCTTACTCTGAACGCAAAGATTATGTTTCAGATTCACTTGAAAAATAACAAAACAACAATAAAAAGTAAAGGCTGACAAATACTAATGCCTCATGAAATTAAGGAACTCCTTTAGTCTTCAGACTCTTTCCATTGTGAATTCTAACTCTGGAGACTTGGTGTTGCTGGGAAGACCCATTCATTCTGAGAGCAGAAAACCTCTAGCTGCCGTCCACAGGGCTGAGGATCAGCTGGCTCATCACTCTGATGAAAGCTAAGCAGAGGTTCACACAGGGCAAACTGGATATAACTAATCTGCAGACGTGAGACATTAAGTTTCAAACCCTAAGTGTAAATCTTTCCAGAGGAAGAAGACGAAGTCCTTGTTAGACCTATCCAGAGTGAAATAATCAGGTGCTGGATTACAAATGTCTACTAGACAACATGCAGACTTGAAATGTGAATAATTTTAATTAAAAAACACATCTTAGAAAGCTATGCTAAAAATAATGTCTATTTAAAGGTATTTTAAAGTTTTAACAGACATAAGAAAGTCTAGCAAGAATGAAAGCCATGACTGATGGTGTCTTCATTATGCCATGTGGTCAAATGTCTTACCCTAGACCAAAACAAGACCTACCAATGCAAAGGCCTGGCTTTCTCTTACCTCTCCTCCCCTCCCCCCTCCTCCCCTCTAGTCTTTTTTTTTTCTTTTCTTTCCTCCTTATGTTTTTCTCCCTTTAACATCTCCAGATGTTACCTATGACTAAGAGCTAACCAAGGATGATTCATCTTAAAGAAGTAGAAATGCCATGTTGCAAATCTATCTAATTTATATTTCAGCAATATTAAATTTATACTCAATTGAAATGAATAACTTGTTTAAATAAAAATAAAACAGAGGATTAAATTTGTTCAAATATTTGGCCCATTAATTAATGGTATTTTTCACCATTACCTATTATTTTAGATTCCTAGAAACTCTGTGTCATAATCTACCCATGGGTGAAAAGGGAATCTCTGCCTCCCTCTCCCAACCCCAAGAGGGCTCGTTGGGAAGGTCAGTGAGCATCTCTGCTGTGCTATCTGGGACTCTTGGCTATGAAGTGCCATGCTGGTCTTCTCTATTTTATTACTAAAAGAAGACATGGCTTCTAGATTAAACTAATCTTCTACTCTTGACTTTGTGATTTCCCAAATGGAGCACAATATTTTAGAACGGCCTCATTGAGAAGTCCTAATGCATTGAAAATGCTCCAAAATGTAAAAGCCAAGCTGGGTGAGGTGGCTCATGCCTGTAATCTCAACACTCAGGGAGCTGAAGCAGGAGGACTGTGGGGTTGAGGCCAACCTGCCTCAACAAATAGAAAAGGCAAAAGCCTTTTGGGGTCAAAAATACTCCATTCATTTGATGACTCCTTAGTTAAGTTTTTAGTAAGAATCTGTTTCAATCAGAAGACTGTCAGATATAACTAAATAAGTTTGCTATCTAAATCTTTTGGTAGCATATTAACATGAGAATATTTTATACAAGGTAGTAACAGTTGTGTCTGGAAAATGTTAAGTTTCAAACCAGTCACGATGTTAGAACCATTTATTGAATATTGTGCTGTTATATGATCTATTGACTTATATGAGTATTGGTTTTAAGACACTGCATACTGTTGTGTGTGTACAAAAAGATTTATGGATCTTATACTACATCAGTATGCCATATGTAATAGAAGTGAGCAAAATTCTCAACTCGATCACAGTTGGATTAGCGTTGATGTAAATACTGTCAAGAGTTTAATGTGTAAACACGCCTGTAGCAGTGTGCTCCCGTAGATTATACCACAATATACAAGAAGACAGACAAGTATAATAACAAAATGTCGAACTACATTAACATCTAATGTTTTTAAAGTAAAGACCTAAAACAACCTGTCATGAAATTATCAACAGAACAAGAAAAACACACTCATAAATAACAGTACATGAGCTGAGAGCATTCTTCCAACCTTTACAAACCCTGTCTCCATTGTTCTTCCACCTGCATTAGATTAGCTCAGTTCTAAGCCAGAGATTGTTTCCATATATGCTGCTTAATAGAAGGGCATTCGTTAATATGGAGACATGTAGATGTGGCAAGATATGCTGTAATCTCAGCATTTCACTGATGGTCAGGATGGTTTATTTTCCCCAGGATCTCTGAGTCCCATTGTTCATAGTCTTATAGAACCAAACAATGTGAGTGTAGCTCTGGAGGACATTCTGAGTTCCGAATGTCTTTCACGATGCTTCCCGTGACTTTGCTTGGAGAGCCAGAGCACATACAGGCATGTGTGTGTATGGGGGAGTTCACATGTACGTGAGTGTGTGCGCCGTCTGCACATTCCTGCTCATACTCCACGTGAGTGAAAGTGCAATCTGTCTTTTACACGTTGAGCTAATCCTTGTCCATTCATTTTCTTCCCCAAAGAAATACAAGGCGCTAGACTTCTAAACTTGACCAGAGACAAAACTCTACCTCTCTAACACTGAGTTGTATGAGATAAATTTCAACACTGCGAATAGACTTTACATGTTCTTTGAGATTATCAAATTTTGTCCCTGACCAAGAGGTCATTGTGTTATGAATTCCTCACCCTAGTTCCTCTTCTTCCTCAGGCCCTGCATCTGGTCAGATTTCCTGCATTGTCACACAGCTTCAGCTTTCTTTTGTGGTCACTATAGTCACCAAGCGAAGTACTTAGTATGACTGAGTGCTCTTCAGGGCTCTATTTGCTCTTGGAATTTCAGTGAATAATTTTATGCACTTCCTTCGTGGGCAAGGTATTTTTAATAGGCAAGAAATGAAACAGCTGGAAGAAAAATTGAGCAACAGTAATGAGAGGAAGGGAAGGTCTGGAAGTCTCGTGGGCATGGGACCCCACAGAGTCAAAAAGGGACTTGGAAAGCATTATTCAGAGCACAGCACTTGGAACTTTCACTGGTGCACAAATCCCTGGGTGTCTTGTTAAGATACAGATGTTGGGTCTGTAAGTGCGGCTGGGATCTATCTGATCATCAATGTCTCTGACAAGTTCCTAGCTGGTGCTGTGTGGCTGGCCTGCAAACACATTTTGAATAGAAAGGGGCTTGTACATCCCAACAACCAGCAAACGTAGTGAGGAAAATAGCACCAGAAGGTGGGCATGTTATTTCTGATTTGATCAATTTTACTCCACACAATTCAGTCCCCTGGAAAAAGGTAAAAAAAGGAATGGCTATTTTTTGTGATTCTAAACCCTGCCACCCCTTTTTGGGTATTACCAGACAGCTACCATTGTATACAACATATTCTCTGCTTGAACAAAAAGAGTATGTTTTAAAGCAATGCTACAAGTGAATACTGAACCACATTTCAAACCTTTGACCACTAATGCCTTTGATACTTGGATTAAATAAATACCTTATATTAGAGCTGATTTTCTTGTACAGAAATGCATTTCTTTCATTATCAGCATTGCTAAATGTCTGTCCATCCAATTGGGAATCATTCCATCCTCCTACCCCTAGTTCTTTGAAATACAGCCCTGTTTTAGAAAATGTGAATTTTGAGAGTTCTCCTCTGACAGAGCGAGGCCTCTGAACCATGGCCAACCCATCAAAGGGAAAGATTGAGCAGGTGCATTGCGCAGTTGTGTGTGCATCCACACGTTCCCGTTTTCACAGCAACTATTGTGTTTGAAGGGAGCCCTGATGTGGACCAGCTGGGGTCAGACATTGCTCTGCTGTAACAAAAGGGTTCTCAGCTCCCGGTCCCTTTGATCTTCCTGCCTGTACTTCTCCTCAAGTTTCTGCTTCTCAGAATCTGCGCAGTAAAAGGTACAATCCGGGCTCTTCCGGATCTGCTCAAACTGACTGAAGTCAGCCACGTATTTTCCACTTTTGGACAGAGAAACCACAGGCACAAACTCAAAACCCCAGTAGATTTCCTCTGGGATGTAGGATGTTCGACTCTGGCAGACAGCGCTGGTGGATTCCACGGTGGCATTGAGGAGAACCACGAGCTCGAATTCCTTCTCCTTTAAGTTTTGGGGTGTGAGGTCCCTCAGGGGGCTGGTCTCATCCAGCACGTGGTAGAAGGTCATGGGCAAAATGAGGAAGGGGCTCTCGGAAGAGGAGTCCACGTGGAATTTGACTGTGGCTTGGTTGAGGAGGATGCGCTCTCCTTCTTTGGTGACGTGGGTCTGGAGGAGCTTGCCAGACAGCTGGCATTGGATCAAGAGGCTCTTCCTCATGTTGGCTACCTGGATCACCAAGCACAGCTTCCCGTTCTGCTTGGTGATGACCGCACAGTGGCTGAATTTGATGGTTTCAGCCCTCTTTTTGGGTCTGGCGATTTTGGCCAGGAACGTGCCTGTGATGAAGATTTCAATCAAGGTGGTAATGACCAGTTGAGCCACCAGCAGGAAAATGGCGTGAGGGCATTCCTCCGTGATGGAACGGACTCCATAGCCTATGGTGGTCTGGGACTCCAAGGAGAAGAGGAAGGCCCCCGTGAGAGAGTCCACTTTCATGATGCAGGGGGTGTGGTTGGAAATCGGCTCCCTGGGTGCTAAATCCCCGTGGATGAATGCGATGCCATAGTAAATCACTCCAAAAAGGAACCAGGTCATGACAAAAGTGGCCGCAAACAGAGTGAGCTTGTACCTCCACTTCATGTCGATAACGGTCGTCCACAAGTCCTGCAGGTAGAGCAAGTATATGCCGTCCACTTTGTCGATTCTCACATTGCTGTGTCCGCTCTTGGACATGACTCGGGGTCTGTGAGCCTTGAGTCCAGCCCCAGCTGAGTGCTTCACCAGGGGGGTCCTGGTCACGCCGATGTGAATAGTACCCATTGTCACGCTCTCGGGGCTGCCTAAGGAAATAACCGGAGTGAGCCATGTGTGGTGGAACTTTCAGAAAGTAGAAACAGCACAGTCACGTGAAGAAATCTGAATGTGTAGTTTGGGTCCAGGACCCCCTGGGATGTCCCAATCTGTGAGGTGCAAGTCCCTTCTATAAAATGAAAGAATGTTTACATGTAACCTGTGTGCACACTCCTGTACACTTCAAATCATTTCTAGGTGGCTTGTAGTACCAAATACAATCAAATAGTTGTTATGCTATTTTGTTTAGGGAAAAAGGATAAGGCAACCATAGTACGTGTTCAGTACAGGTGCAATCTTCCCTTCAATGCTGTCAGTCCATGGCTGGTTGAGTCCTCAGGCACAGAACATGCAGATAAGTGACAACAGAACGTGACATAGTAAGAAACGAGAGTTGTGAAGGCAAGACTAGCTGATCTGTACTTGAGGTAGTGAGTAGGGAAGAGTAAGGAACACAGAATTTGAAGAAAAGCAAGCATGATTTAAATGCTGGTTTTGCGATTGAACTGCTGTGTGACTCAAGAGAAGCCATATAATCTGTCAGGACTTCAGCTCCTTAATCTTTAAAATGGAATGTGTCCCATTCCTCAGGACTTTTGTGATGATTAAATGAGAAAAAAGTGCCTAAACAGAGTCTCACACTTAAAAGACAAGTCATGCTTCTCTCTGTGATAACAGACTGTTATATGTATATCTCACAGGATATTATGAATATTTATATTCAGGTTTCATGATTTCACACTATGGAAAATTTAAAACTTACTTGACCAAGAACTGATGTAACTAAGATCTACCAGCCACAGGACAGTTCTTGGTAGAGCAATGGAGAAAACGCAAATCTGAAAAGCTCAAGCATTTATCAATAAAAATTTTTTAGACTTACCATTTGCATAACATTCTTTGTAACAATTCATTTCTCCCTCCAAGCCAGTGAATAATTTAGAATCTATGACCTCTCTTAATTCTTGACCTTTGGGAAAAATTCAATTATCAAACAACCCAGAAAATCTTACAGCAAGTAATTAAGCTATCTCAGTGGCTTCATTGATATGCTGGCTATTCCAGGAAGAATGCTACCAGTGTTATTTTAGGAGATCTGGCACAAAAATTCTGCTGTACTCTTTAGATATAGGTAGAACCAGCACAAAGAAGAGCAAGTAGAAAAGTAAATAAGTGTAGGCTTCTAATATTGGAGTGGAGACCTACCAGGAAGTGCATTGGGTCCCTGCTTAGTCCCAGGGGATGCTTTGCCCTGTGGTAAAAGCTAGGAACAAGTTGACTGTGAAGCCACACAGCATCTTATAGTCCCTGCCTGGTGACTGAGATAAGTTTCCCTCACATTTCTTGAAAAGGATTATGAGGTGGTTATAGTGAAACCTTACCTGATTGGCATGTTTTTCCTATCTGACTGGTATTTTAAGAATTAGAAAAAAAAATGGCTACACAATGGTTCTATGATTCATGCAATAATCTTTTCTGTTAGAGGAACATTATCTCAATAAAAGTTTTCCCGGAAAATCCCTTCAAGGAAATGGAAATGGTTTCCAGTAGTGATGGAAATGGTGGCTATCACCTCTTCAGGACACGGTAGCCCTGTTCAGTATTTTAATTTTCTTGCTTCACTATGAATGGTGTGTCGCTCTCTTGAAATGACTTATTTTTTTCTTAGAAAGTCACTTTTTTTCATTTTCACTGTAAAGAAAGTTCATAAGTTATGCAGAATTTCTTTAACTTCTTGGAGCCTATGCCACCTTTCTTGGGATCCATTGGGAAGGATGTACTGTGAGCATGGCCCTTGCTTATCATGCCCCTGGCAAGGGCCATCAGTGTGAGGAGGTGGAAAGTAGCCACAGTGAAGGTTTTGGGAAAGACACACCATGCTGGCTTACCCAGACGCACAGACAAGCTCGCAACGTGAGCTCTGCCAAAGACAAACAGCTCATGTACAAGTAACTGCATGTACTTGTTTTTTTTTTTAAGAACCTGCTAGGGAAAGTGTACAGCACTCAATCCATTGAAATAAAAGCAGAGGCTTAAGTTTTCAAGTGGGAGTGATACTTGAGTGTCCTGGGGGCACAAGGCAAGCTCCCAGCTCAGCCCTCTGCCAGATTCTAGGAGCCATGGCCTTGTTTCTAGGAAGGGGCTTCTGCTTCACACTTTCCTTCAAAGCAGACTTGCAAAGAACTGTGTGTCTTCCTCTTTCTGCTGAACACTGGCTGGCTACAGGCCCCACCTGGTTGTAGGGTCAATGCAACAGTGCCTTCTATCAAGGTTTGTGACACAAAACACAAGTGAGACCTAGGGTTCACTCATATGTGGTATGCTCAGGATCTCTCTGTGAAAAAGAGAGCAGCAGCTAGGGGACATTGGTCCAGGGGGCCACAGCCCCTTCTGTCCCTCTCCCCACTCCAATGCCCTCTGCCCTGAGAACCCTTTACTACCTGATCACTCACGTGGCTGGTCAAGAGTCTTCTTCAGGGCAGGTAGCACGTCCTGGTTCCCCTTCACCCACCTGGCTACCATTGGACTCTGGCACTGCCTGAAAGAAAGAGGGACATGTGTTATTCACAGGTGGGGACTACAGCACCCAGCAAAACTGGCTCCTGGCGATTCCCAAGGGTTAGGGCTGTGGCATTTACCTTCCACTCCCTGGCCATCTGGCACAGAGCCCAGAGCAGGCTAAAGGCCCAATGCGTCTCAAGAATGAAACTGAGGACACACATGGCCCTCACTAGGAATCAAGCCCCTGGAGGGAGCTCACTGGCAAAAAGGCAGAGGGAGCCAGGGTTACCCCGCCCCCACGGAGGCCGCCTTAGTGAGCAGAGCTGCACAGGAGGCCGGAAGGGGAAGCGCAGAGGAAGTAAACAGTAACATCGGAAGGGAAGCATCCAGAATAGTTTTACTGCCTGTGGAAATGCCTGTTGAGTCATAAAGCCCTAGAGTGGAAAAGTCTGTTGGAACCATCCCCTGTGATGGATACACATTGCCCAGAGGAGGACAAAGAACCAGGCACTGGGCAGGGCCTGCGGTTGGTCACTTAGCTGGCTGCTGGCTGAAGGAACAGGGTCCAAAGGCTTTAGAAGTCTTTAGCAGTCCTAGTCACTGCACACAAAGTCCCCTAACCCACCAGTTTCATCTAATCTGGTTTAAATTCGTGAGGCTCTTTTACATCTCACTTTTTTGAAGCACCCTACCATTTGTCTATTATTTGTCAATCTGTTACCTACTCATCAATCTTTGTAGTCTGTCATCTTTATATTTTTATCTACTGTCGTCTCTCTGTATCTTTTAAACAACCTATTTATTATGTATTTGTCATCTATCATCTGTTCTGTTACCTATTATCCATTTACTATGATCTGTGTCTATTTACAGATCATATCTATTTATCATCTATCTATTTATCTATCGTTGATCTACCTCTCTATTTCTATACCAACACCTTTCTATCTGTCTCACACTCAGGCACACATATACTTGATAGTTATTTTCTGAACCATTGATTTACACTAATTATTGTTTTGGGGTTATCATTTTTCCATTTATCAACCTGGTCCCAGCGTGGTCACTGCATGTTTGACATTGACCCCCTTCCTCATCCTCTGTTAAAACCAGGAGTCTGCTTCTTTGGTGTTTATACTTATTATATGCTCTTAATTCACAGTATTTTATTCTTCAGTGGCCTTTTCTCCAGAAATGTACTTCTTGCCAATACACACTCTTATTTTATATATTTTTATGTTACCGCCTTTCATTTTTTTCTCAGTTATTCTACAATCCACATGCATTAGCTTCTATGATGTTAAGAGACAGTAACATTTTCCCAAAAGTTAGGAATCAGAAAGTTAGTGTCTTCTAATTCCCCCCTCTCTTAATTCAGATAGGCAATAGTCTACATAAACCCTAACGGTGTTCTTTAGTCTCTGGATAAATTTAGGTGTCCAGGTTTTGTTATGTTGTTTCAACTTCTGGGTTGGAATTGTAATTCTCAGAATTGCAATAACTTTATCCTTGAGACTCTTGAATGGAGAAGTCAATATTACCCCCTTCTGCTTCAAGCCAATCAAAGATGCATGGCATGAAGCCATTTAGTTCTTACGTTGTATAGCATTTGGTTTCTGGAGATAAAGGAAAGAAAATAAACACATTTTTGAAGTGGAACTGAATAGTAAGTACATTGAAAAAGGCACTAAGCTCTCTGGAGAGTGTTGCAAGAGCTGTACTTCCAGGCTTGGGGGTGAAGCAATGAGCATGGAGAAGTAGAAAAAGAGTCCCTCACATCTTCAGAGCAGAAGAAAGTTCTGTCCTAAAGAAAAGCTCTTGTAAAAATGGAGGAAATCATCAGAGCACACTGGAACACTCTGTTCTGTTGAAACAAACAATCTGTAGTGGCCAGAGAGTTCCTAACCAATTAGAAGAAACACAGAAGCAAATAATAAGCAGGGCTAGAGTGAGAACAGAACCAAAGTGGAAAAGGTACGGATAAAAGAAAACAATAGCGACAGTAAGAGACTTACAATAATAGTAATGGTGGTTCAGTGCAGTAGCAGGCATCATCGTAGAAGCCACACCAACATGTGTCAGCCATGTGTTTTCCACACATGACCCTAATCCACCTTCATTGCAACCCTGCAAGGTGAGCTCCATCATTATCCACCTGATGACGCCACTGAGACACAGAGAGGACAAGTGACTCATCCAAGTTCCCAACAGCTGGCACAAGTGAGGCTCCCAAGATGTTTACCTTCCAAGCCCTGACAAGTGCTCAAGGTTCAAATGGGACAGAAACACCTGGAAGGTTTCAATTTGCTGATTCGGCAGGTCTAGGGTGGAGCCCAAGGAATTCCCAGGTGATACAGTCTATACTGCTCTGGGAACACAGGCTGTGATGCCTAGCTTTCGCCTTCAGGAAGATCCTGTCCCCTCACTTTGTTCTGCATCCTCAATTGACACCCTTGCACAGGCACTGTCACACCTGCTCATTACCTTCAGGAATGTCAAACTCCAGCATCCTATCCAGTGGCCCAAGGCCAGAGATGATTTTTTTTTAAAGCAGGAATGTCTAGAGAATTTGATCAAAGTGATAACATATCATTTACATTTATTATTAACTATTATATAAATATTATAGGTTATAGAATATATAAATACATATAATCAAGTTTATACTAAATAGCTAAACAGAATATGTTACATGTGTTTATGTTAATTATGTATAATATAATAATTCTAGCTAAAATTAAGTACAGAGAAATCTTTCCTTGCCACAATTTGCTGTCACTGGTCAACTCCTGGTTACACAATTCCCCTTTTTACCAAGTCTCCAAAATAGGACTGTCTACCTAACTGTCATGTGGATTTTTTCCCCTTGTAGTCAGCACAGCATAGAGACCTTGAACTCCGTTGAATCAGTTTGGAAGTTTTCAACTTGCTCATTCTGGGAAAACTTTACTCTGTGTTCCGTGGTAGACTAACAAAGTAGAAACACCAGCAAAAATATATATATATATTTATATATATTTTTTTATATTTATATGTATATAATATATTTATATGTATGTTTATATAATATATATATATATTTTTTTTTACAGAAGAAAAATGGGTGGCAGTGGCTCCCCACAGTGGAGTTTTTCTGCCAGGTCTCAAGTGACTCGCTCCTTGTGCTCTTGAAGGGGGAGGTAAGGCAAGAAGGAATGAAAGGTGGATCAAATTGTAACTTTGCTTTTCCAGACCAAAATTAGAATCTGGAGAATCTGACAGAACTTCCTGTTTTGAAGAAAAGTCACTTTAAAGCTTTCTTTTACGTCAAGTATTTCTGACACATCGGGGGATTTTTGATGATTTCTGTTTGTCCACAAACCCAAGGAACCTGGATTAAATTTCACTTTAAGTATACACAGGCTTAAATATTAAGTAGACAAAAAATGCTTGACAAGAATCTGTTTGGGGTTCACTGAGCTCAGAAGGTTTAAAAGTGATTGAAAATAAAACCAGTGAGGCTTAGCTATCCCTCTTTGGACCCTGTGACTATGGTCACAGAAACACATGCATAGGGACCTTTGGCTTTGGCCCTGTGACAGATTCTCCCCTGCTCTTTGAAACAGTCCATGATTCACTTCAAAGGCTGTTTGGACAGTTCTGAACCCTTTCTTAGATTCACCAATGCCAGCTAAGGACACAAATGTCTATGTTCAGGTGGCCTCAGAAACGGTCATATTCACTGAAAAAGAATAAGGTGGCCAAAGTCGACTCTGGGCAGATTCGCAAGGGCAGGTAGTCCTTTGGTTCTTAACTCTTGTGAAAATTATGTATACCTTTTTCCAACTCTCTTCGTACCTCAGGCACTGAGGGCTGAGGATAGCTAAAAGTATGACAGCTTTTGGAAGCCATGAAATCTCTCATTCTCCTCCATGAGAATTGTAAGAACAAGGGAAGTGCAAGTTGAGATGTTAGGACATTTGTAAGCTCACTTTCTCTCTTTCAATGACCTAGGTTTGGAAGATGCGAACTCAGGGCCTTGCAGGTAAAGCTGTGACAGTTGTTGCGATTGACTGTACATTGCTACCAGGTTATTTGCTGCACCTCTCTGCTGGATCCATCTTTAAAGGATCCTGACCCTGTAGGGGAGATGGTTTCTACTTCCTGTGTTGGAGTGGCCATGTGACTTCCTCTGGCCAATGGAAAATGAGCATCATTGACTCACACCACATCTGAGCAGAGGCATTGGACTCACCTCTTGGGTCTGCTATTGCTCTGGGATGGGTCTCAGATTGGGCAGTTCCTTATTGAGGGGATTGGGAAGGAGATTCCTGGGGCTAGGCCATAGCAGAGCCATGGTTGAGAAAGGATTCTTGTTGCCGTAAGCCACAGAGTTTTTGGAGTCATTACTAAGGCAAAAACCCCATAAAAACCTGGCCACAGAGGTGCTCATACTCCATACTTTTGTGTTATGGGTTATATGCCTGACTTAATACTTCATTTAAAGGTATTTAAATGAAGACATAAAATCCTCAAATATCCCTTGTGTAAACACCAAAAGTGAGTCCATGACAAGACACTGGGCAGAGAAAGAACCCAAATCTACCATGACTTGAACAGGAAGCAAGATTGCCTGATCTCTAAGGACAACATAGAAAAGGTGACTAATTCTTCCATTAAATGATCTCTAAATTGACATTTAGTCATAGCATAACAAGATAACTTCTCAAAGAATGCTATGTGGGCATCCTGTCCTGTCATTCTAATTTTCTGTGAGCAAGAAACCCCTGGTTCATGGACCGATAGCCTCAGATCTTCAATGTCATACATACCCTGGCTGTCCTGGGGCCATGATTTTATGTCACTGACAGCTTTCATTTCAAACGGGGAGTTAAAGGGCTCAGTTACTTTTCAAAGCAATGACAGACATTATTTTATTTACTCCTTCCTTTACTATGTGAAGAAAGATTTTCCTCTATTTTCTAAATGAGAAACAAAGCTTAGAGAGATTAATTTACCCATCTCATAAAGCTAGT